TTGTATATATATGTATACAATGAGCACATAAAATTTAAAATTGGTTCAGTAGTTTAAGTGTACATTAAGGACAAACATCGTAACACCATCTTTCTATTTCTCTCGCCCTCTATCTCTTTCTTGCTCCCTCTCTATCTTCTTCTCTATGTGTCAAAATTAAATGAAATTTGTAAAATTTTGATATTTCGAGTATGAACCGGAATCTTTATTATAGCCTATAACCTAAGTTGGATATATATGCATTCAATGAGCCAAAAAAATTAAAATCTGTTCGGTAGTTTAGGAGTACAGTAAGGACAAACATCGTGACACAATCTTTGTCTCTCGCTTCCTCTTTCTATCTTTTTCTCTGTGTCAAAATTAACTGAAATTTATAAAATTTTGATACTTTTAATATGAACCGAGATTTTTCATATACCCTGTAACCTAAGTTGGATATTTATGCATACAATGAGCCAAAAAGAATTAAAATCGGTTTAGTAGTTTAGGAGTACATTCAGGACAAACATCGTGACAAGTTTAAAATTGAGTTTTTTTCTGGATTTTTATATCAGCTCGCCGTCTATGATGTTATTCCGCTTCGTTTGATTCCTTCCGACGGTTTTCTCGAAGAAAAATCATGATTCTAATGGTTATAGTTTGTTGCAATAAAACCACGACGAGAAAATTTTCAGCAGAATAACTTTATACGAATATTATCTTATATTATGAATATAATGTCGAATAAAACCAGTCGTATCACTTATATTTGAATGAGTGGATAGATAGATGGAGTTATTCCGATAGTTTTTGATGGAGAAATATTGTTCTTGCGTTCTGCTATAGTAAAGTCTTAGCTTTTATTAAGAGTGTATAAAGAAAAAGCTTGTATAATCAAGATAAAACTTCCAGTATTTTTCATTCAAGTCTTCTGGTTTATATTGAAATAAATTCTCCTCCTAACAAGTGTCCTAGTAGGATGGAGAAAAATACTATGGTCGTCGCAAACCGACTGATACGTTGTTAAAAATAATTGGAATGAACTGTTGCCATATTCTACGAAGCTACAATTTAAATGAAAAACTTTTATTCTTTATTACCATACAGAAAAATACACTATCGGGCTCTTGATACGAAAATAATTGCCAATAGAGATCAATATCGTAAAGAAGATTTAATCATAGTATAATGATGTCTGTAGTCTGATGCAGAAAAGAATTCATTTTCGTCTTACATAATATAATCACTTCTAGAAGTTTATGAGATAAGGTTCAAATGAAATTCTGAAAAAAATAATATTCATCTAAAACATCCTATTAAAGTTAATTGAAACTTAATCTGTCAAAATCATTTGACATTTGACGTATGAGCTGCCGACCGTTATTTCATTTTAAATTAAACCTAAAAAAAAGTAAAAATGTAAAGTTTTTACGCGGTTTCGTAATAATTTCTCACATTTTCCATAACCTCTGGATTAGCACGAAATTTTCGAGACTAAAAGTGGCCAAATCGGTTCAGCCGTTTTCGAGTTTCAGCATACCTAACATAATATCGCGCTCCATTTTTATATATAAGAAGATATATAAAATTCATAATAAAAAATTTACATTTTAACATTAAATTTTATTACAATTTTAATGATTATATATAGACTAGCTGACCTGGCAAACGTTACTTTACCATATTACAAATTGTCATTTCAAACATTTTAAAATAGATATTTTGAGTTTCTAATGACACTTGCGACCTGACAAATAAAACTACGTACTACAATTGAAAAAATATTTATCTAAAACATCCTATTAAATTTAATTAAACTTAATTTGTCAAAACCATTTGACATTTGACGTATGAGCTGCCGATTTTTATTTTTTCATTTTAAATTACACTTTACAAAAAAATTAAATTGTAAAGTTTCTAAGCGGTTTTAAAATAATATCTCACTCGGAAAAGACTGAACCGATTTGGCCACTTTCAGTCTTGAAAAAATTCGTGCTAAATCAGAGGTTGTGGGAAAGGTGAGATATTATTTCAAAACCGCGTGAAAACTTTGTATTTTTAATTTTTTTTATATAAGTAAAATTTAAAATGGAACAATGGACGGCGGCTCATACGTCAAATGTCAAATGGTTTTGGCAGATTAAGTTCAATTAAATTTAATAAGATGTTTAAAATAAATATTTTTAATTGTAGTAAGTAGTTTTATTTGTTCACAGAAACAATGTACAACAAACTCAGAATATCAACTTTATTCAAATGTTTATATGAAAATACACTTTTTGGCTTTATGGCACTCGTTTTTTGCCATAAAAAACCATATTATATACCTAATTTAAAAAAA